AATCGAATTTAAAGCGTTTAAACGAAGTTACAGCTTCATTTTACATTTCACCGCTACAAACAGAAACTAGTTTACACGGAACTCAGTACAGAAAACACAGAACACAGAACTTAAGTTACTTTAAACTTAGGTTACGTGTAACTGAGTTTTTACAGAGCTTGGTGAAAAGGGACCTTAGTACTGGTTGATTTTTAAACCCTCAATTTAAAGCCACCGTCACCTGCTGCTAATACGTCCACCGCCAACCATGCCAACCAATATGCTTCATTTGTAAAACTGGTGCAACTATGCGAGCTGAACTAAATTGACTCATTTTAGGTGCCGGTGGCCGTTCCGCTTTAAGGTATGTATGGACTTTGTCAGACCTGGCGGCGCACTGTGATGGCAGAAAAAAACGAGCATCGATGTCACGTGGAGCGAGGTGAAGTAAGAACCTCAAGGCCATACGAGATAGGGGGCCTCTGTGGACTCTCCTCTGCCCCATCTATTGGGCACTAGGACATAAAAGTAAGCAATGATTGTAAAGAATAATCTTAAACTATGTTCGATGTTTGACAATGTCCACCAGACACATTTTGTTTTTATATTTATAAGTATCACAAACCTTTTTCAGAGTTATATGTACTTTTGATTACCTATGTAGACACCACTGATAAACGGTGAAGGAAAACATCGTGAGGAAACCTGCGCTTATAATTTCTAATTATAAGTCTGTAATCGTCAACCCGCATTGAGCAAGCGTGGTGATTAATTCTTAAACCTTCTCCGTGTGAGAAGAGGCTTTGCTCAGCAGTAAGGCTAGAGCTAATAGGGGGCGAGCCTATTGCCATATACCGGGCACAATTCCAGACTCCGCTACTACTGAGATTTTTTGAAAAAAATACTTCTTTCGTTACTCTTTATTATATCTACACATATCTTCCACACGTTGTTTGTTCTCGACGTCATTACTGACCTACCGCCTGTCCCGGGTAATTTGAGACGAGTGACCGAGTCTAATAAAACAACACCTTTGGCCGGCTATACATTTATAACTCCTCTAGTCGGTGTTGACTGCTGACAGTTTACCATCAAGTTCAACTGCTGTAGGTATACGAATTTATAAACCTTGTTTGCAATGGGAAAATATAAAAATATAGTGTAGCATGTAGATGATGAGTAGGTACTTCTACCTCCCACTTAGGTGAGAATACAATTTGTATTGTTTATGACAAAGTTCCTATAGCTACTAAATACAGAAACTAATACAAATAATGCATCACAAACAACGCTCCTGGCACCATGAGGTACAGAAATTGCAATAAGGCAAATTATGTAAAACACGTAATTTTGTTACATTAGCATTTATATTAGGTTCCAACAAACTTGGTGATATATTGATCATGTCTTTACGAACTCAATTATTTCTGCTTACAGTGGGGGGGAGCTGTATGGTAACGCAGTGGGTGGAATACTTTTTGTAACATCAGTCGGTCACCGGCGATCCCATGGCGTTCGATGTGATAAATAAGAGTAATTTAAATGAAATTATCTGAATGTTGACGACATGCCACTCTGTAGTTACGCCACTGACCAAGTTTTAACTCTTTAACGCCCGCTTAACGTCGGCATCATAAGAGCCCACTTTTTCACAACCTGAACTTTTTAATTCATATACCTCTATTCATATTATATGTGTAAGAGCACAAAGCTCATAGGCAGTCGACTATTACAAGGTGTTGATCACTACAGGTTGGGACTACTTTATGACGATATTTATATAATTTATTATGTCACCCATGATCCTACTGCAGGGTATAAGCCACCCTCAGATGACAAGCAATCACACCGCAAATGGACTCGCGCTACTCTATGCCAGAGAAGCTACGTTGCCGGCTTTTTGGGAATCAGAAATTGGGGTTTTGAGGACTGGCAAGAGGGGGCGATTAGGTCATTTGAATCGAAGCACTCTCAGCTTTAATTCAATTTTAAAATCTTTAATGTACTGGTTGCATAACGTGACCAGACGTCCCGTTTTGAACGGTACTGTCCCTTTTTATAATAACGAGTCCCGCTCTTGGTCCTGCTGTCCCTGAAATGAACTCTGGGACGCGAAATTGTCCTGTTTTTGAGAAAAAATCGGGAAAAATTGAAATAATGCATAGTTTTAGGATACAGAACTCACTAATCCTTGACGAAGTGAAGTCGAAAAAACATTGTGTAGGTACCAACATTTTTGTGCTGTTAGTAATGTTTATTGTGGGCACAAAATTTGTGTTACAGGATCTATAGTAATAGGATGTAGCTATCAGATATCTGACTGAATCAAAATAAACGAATGTCCCGTTTTGAGTCGAAAAATAAATAAGTAGTCACATTATGGTTGCTCTGTCTACTTGTAGCCTGGCCTCGAGCTTCTGGCGAAAAGTAAAACTGTTATTAAATTTTGTGCTTTCTAAAACCTTACTGAATACAGAAAAAAAGATAATTAAAATTATTTTAAAACTGTTTCCACAAATAAAGAAGAAAGACATGCAGCGCCATCTAGTAAGACGTTGCGTAAACTAAGTTTATGTGACGTAGTTTTGACGTCAAATGTTGTACCTACTCAAAAACCAAAATAATCTTTGTGAAAACAATCATTTAGGACAAACAGGGCTCTAAAGCATTGTGGGAGAGGTTTATATTTAAATATAGTATCATAACAATGCGTATGCTACGCAGTGCACGAACTATAGCTGCCGGTCACCCCCCGAAAAAAGCTTTAAAGGGCTAAATACGATTTGTTTAGTCTGAGAGATGATTAATTTTCTGTATTAGTCAGAAGTAAAAGAAGATCTAACCATAATAAAGTGGTGAAATAATTATGAATTATTATTAATTATTAATTTCCTAAGTAATTCAATGTGTTGCATTTAGTTCATAGATGGCTTTATATGTTTATTTGCATAACATGCACCCTATGTATAATAATTATATCAAATCTATAGGTATATCTATCAATAATTTGCGAGCGCCCGGCGACGCGCGACATCATCCTCATTAGAACCGCGTCATTTATTCCAAAGACAATAGAAGTTGACTGCAATTACAAATGTTGCCAATCCTTATGTAGTAAACCAAAATGAGGAAACTTGTATTTGCAGTTTCCTTCGGAAACTTCTTGGTAATCTGAATGTGATCAATTTTAAATTCAACTATGAATTTATTTTTTACGAAATTGAAAATTATTGTTTTTAACATTTGAAAAACGACACTAATGTTTGGTTTCCGAACATAATAACATAATATTACAAGATATTAAACATAATATTTAATATCTCCATTGTGTTATTGATGATAAAGTTCTGTATTATATCAAATGTACCCAACGGTATAATATGAAAAATAGCTACCGTAAGATACGGTATTATTACCACTTCTTATATTAATTATATTTTTATAAAACCCGATTTATCCTATTGGCGTGTGTTCCTGGCGGTGAACCATATACTAACAATGTTATGTGCGTCAAAAAACATTTCTAATCACACGTTTTCACACCTGATTAGAGTTTGTTAGTTTTTGAAGCAATAACTTTCGTCATTAAAGATGGACAAGGTTAGAAAATAGCAAAAGTGCCAATTACAACTCTTTAAACTTCTTAAATCGCTATAATATCTCAAAAAATACAATTAGTCATTCTAAAATAGCTAGATAATAGGTATTGCATACAATCAAAAACTAAACTATTATTCATTTTTTATACTAGAACTGTTCATATAGGATGTTATAATCAAATCAAAATATAAAATATTTTAAGTTAATGGTAAGTTATGGCGAGATATTGGTATTATAGTGAGCTTTCTGGTATTATACTATTATACGGTAGTTTTACAACACTAGAAGTGCCTATGATATGTCATATTAGGCGTCAGAAGTCATCTTTGTGTGCAAAACAAACATGCGTCAATGAACATATTCTAGCGATTTAGAAATATATTTTTTTTTATTGGGGAGATTGGGAAAGGGGAGGGGGGTAATTGGGCCTCCGGTAACCCAAGTTCGGTAAGAAGAAACACAACGCAAGAGTTGCTTCAGATCGGTTTTCTATGAGGACATATCACACCGGTCGAGCCAGCCCATTCGGGCCGAGGCATGGCTCTCCCACACTACACAAATTCAACATTTCAATTAATATTTTTAAATTCATTCTCAATTACCTACTTAGTAATTAAAAAAAAAACGTCTTTCGTTCCGCACATTGTAATAAACTTTTTAAACAGATAATAAGGAAATATAAGATAAAAACGTGGCAACATAGTGCAAATACTTTCCAGATACTTTTGTCTATGGTGCATAGGGAAGTGACTTCGAGTATTTTTTAATCGAATCTTTTTAATAAAGATCGATTAAAGATTCCTGTATTAACAATTTTTAATTTCTCTACTTTTTTTAATTCTATGGTTAAATTATTAGTATTTATCAAATGTTTTGTAATTATTACTAACATAATAGATGATACCAACGGTTTTGACATAGACTGCCAATAGTATTTTAGTATTCGGAATATGACATTTCGATTCTGTGCCTGAATCCGATTCACGTGATTACGTCACTCGGGCCAAGCGAAGCGAGCGGAGGGAGATGTACGAGATTCGTACTGTGTTAAAATTAATACGTCATCTCTTATTCTAAAGTGATATCTGTTAATTAATTCGCGGTGTTGCTCAGAAATTTATAATAAAACAGTAAGTAAATAATTCTGGCGTCGATACACGCTTCACCGTATGGTATGAACGCGTTGTTTGGTTCCCTGTGCAGTGCCTATACAAATGCATAATATAACCTATCTGCGCTTTGCATAAATCTATGAGGCCGCAGCCTTGTAATTGATGCAGATGCAGCCGATGTGGAAATAAGGCGATAATGCGATTACAAAAGTAGTTAAAACGTCATCGGAAAGAAGCCATCAAGACGGGGTGTTTTGCCGCGCTGTGTGCTGTGTTTATTGACGCGTTGGTTGCAATATTGCAGGCATAATGCCGGCGGCGCGAGGCGTTAAACGTGCTGCGTCCAAATCGTCCGCCGCTACGGCGTCAACGGCGGCTAAAAACAAGAAAAAACGTGGTGGTGAGTACATGCAAAGGCATTTTGCAATTGTTTTCTTTACATTTTTGCCTATGTCAATGACCTGTCAAACGCGATGGCGGGAAACGAAAGGCGCGAACACTCCATAAAAGTTATATTTTGTGTTTACACGTAACTGTACTTGAAATGGGATTTGGATTGCTATGTTTGGTCATTTAGAATGATGTTTATGCGTAAATATCGCGTTGGTTATGTAAGCGTCGCGCACGAATGGAATATTTTGAGGTTAGTTAACTCGGACGGCGACGCTTCACATTATTTACAAATGTATTTTTCACATAAATTAGTATATTTCGTGAATAACTGTGACTAACTTATGCTAAAATAATTGTCTGTAAGTTGAATTGGAGTGTATTTATCATTGTAACGTTGTTCAAAGTTGTCTAATGAGACTAGAAGCCATTATTGTGCCATTAGGCAACTAACTACAGAGATAAGCATAAAGTTTACAATACTACAACTATTTTTTGCATTATCTTTTTTCATATTAAATTCTGGCAAATAATGACCTATATTTCTAAATATTATGTAATATTTTTAAACATAACTTATTGACACATGCTTGGTAACTACACTTTGTAATTTGATAAGATATTTATTGTGTTAGGTACCAGATATTCTCTGTCATGCAACATAAACATTATTTAAAATTCAAGAACTAATCTTAACAACATGCATTGCTGCTACTCTGAGTTAACATTACTAGACTTGTTGCAATTCATATATTTTAATCTGTCAAACACCAAGCGGTCACCGGTGACCGCGACCTATTGTTCTTTAATTGTGTCTATAAAACCGGTACTTGACGAGTTAATAGGTTTCCATGAATTAGACATATTTAGACTATGAACTTGTCTTTGGAAAACTAATCAAATAGATAAGCAACCCTTAACGAACCTACTTCAACACAATCTTAATATTTTATCTTCATAATAAATCATCGGTAAACATTAGTTTTCTCGCATGGCAACACATTTTGACCTTGACACAATACTTAAGAAAATAACAGTCATGGCGTTATCTATAAAAATATACATTTCATACATAACACTTGTTTGAACTGAGTAATAACTAATTTGTTTATTTAGCCTGTGTGTATATTAAATTATACAACTTCTTTTTTAAATATTAAAGAGTTGTGTGATTAACCCTTTGAGTACTGTCATTATAGACACAATTAAAGAACAATAGGTTGCGGTTCCCAGTGTCCTCGCTGTATTTGACAGTTTAAGCTGTTATAGCATAAATAATATGTAATTTAACAAAAAGTTTTATACTCAGAAAACTTTTATTTATCGTCATACTCTGAAGAAAATTAAAAATAAGGTTGTATAGTTCGCTAACTTTTTTACCAAATATACAAAGATGTGAAACTTAAATCTCCATCTCACTACGTATTAAATATAAAATCCATTGATACTCGCTTCTCAAATAAGACACGACTAAAGTATACAAACGGATTATGTCATTGGTCTTTTTATATTATTTATGTCATCATATTTGATAAGAGTGACCTTAAATTCCGAGTTATGCCTAGACTTGACTGTTGAAATTTAATTTACACTGACACCTGCAGTTTATTTCCTGAATACTTATGTAGCATGTAAGTATTATAGATAGGTGATTCATTGCTATCAAAACTAAGAGTCTCGCACACACTGACCACAACAAAAGTATTAATCATTCTGGAGTTCGTCCAGTAGTTCTTGACATTAGTATGTTCATATAATGACAGCTTTTTAATTGAGAATTCAGGAATCATTTAAAGTTTCTCATGTACTTCAAATATATTCCTTCCAATTGTTAATTAGCGGAGACAATATTAAATCAAGTTTTTTTTTTAAACTTTGCCCCACACTAGCATCCTCTCCTGTGTTGTGGGTGTGTTTACATACATACAAGTTCACATACATATTCGCTGTCCTTTAATGAGCAATTTAAACTGTCAAACACTGCTAGGACACCGGTGACCGCAACCTATTGTTCTTTAATTGTGGCTATAATGACGGTACTCAAAGGGTTAATAACTAAGGCATTTATAATTTCATTCTTCACACCTCAGGAGTAAATAAATAATCTTCAAAGTCAGTGCTATTTTCGGAGCTTACACTGTTACACAAAAAAGGTTGAGATCATTGCACTAAATTGTCATCGACATAAATATCACACATAAAATACTAATATTATTGACATAGCATTCTAGAATAACCTTAAATGGTACCTAAATATATTACCTACCCACTGAAATGACTAGGATCCTAAGATATTATGCTAATTATAAAGACAAATAACTTTTTGTACTAAGTAAAGAGTGGTATTTTTTTTTTTGTATCGGAAAAGAATCATGGCCGCTTGTGATAGATTTTCAGTCAATATTTCAATGCCCATTTCGAAAAATATAATCTTTTTACACTGGGAAAGATTGATTATTATTATTTATTTTTATTTTATTTTAAAAGACTTCATGCACACACTAATGTACAAGGTGGGCTTAATGCCTAGGGCATTCTCCTCCAGCCAGACCTTATTACTTATACCTGGCCATTTTCTGGGGCATTGCAGTTAGCCAATTTAGAGAATACAGCTATATCTAGCTTCACCTCGCTTCAATGATGAACAGACTATTATTTGTTTTGTATTTATTGACATTTCAAAAGTACGAAATTATGGTTTAATTGAAATAAATGCTTTGTCTTTGATTCATATTTCGGTGACTGGTTTGATTACGGTTTTAAAGATAAAACTTATTGGACACTCCAACGCTACTTAATTTTGAATCGTGCTTAAGTATAGTTCTGTCACTACAAGTAATTTTAAAATAACAGAGATGGCACTGTATTTAAATACAACTTAAATATGAGTAGTCTTCTAGTATTCGTGCATTAGATCTGCTATATAAATATTATTCAATGAAATCCTTTCTTGCTTCTTGCTCCTAGCAATACTTCTTCTGCATCACTGGGAGAAAATGACTGCGGCATTAAGTCCACCTTATGTACACTTTGTGCATGAAGCATAAAATAAACAAATGAATATTCTTTCTTTCTTCTTTCTAAAAAATTTTTATTAATGTTGTGTTTATTTGTCCAGCGATCCAATGGGAGATTCCATCCGCTCCAAAGAAGAGGGGCCGTGTGCTAGCATGTGGACAGGGCGACGTGGGCCAGTTGGGGCTCGGGGAAGATGTTGTGGAGACCTCCAAGTAAGTTGTTTACCACAACCATTTGTTTTTTATTTCATTTATAGATCTTTTAGTAAAAAACATCATCAAGTGTCAGATTATAAAATCAGGGATCAAAGATTTAAAGTATTTAACCCGTTGAGCGTCCGCATTCCTTATGCATGCAAGAAAATGCATTTATTTGGCCATTGCCACACGAAAACAAGGATCATTACAATAGAAATAAAACAAATACAGTTAAAATAAAGACAAAACATTAATAATAGATTTTATAAAAGAGAAAGCAGCATGGAGCATTTTTTCTTATGATCCACCGGGTGCCCATAAGGACGCTCGAGGGGTTAAGTAAAGAATTAATTATAATTGTCTGAGTTCGACTTAAAATATTTTTTATGTAGTTGCCATTTATTTTATAATTATTATGTAGTACTACTTTGTTAGTCATATGGTTGCAAGTATGACTGCCAAGTAAGCAGATTGACACAATCTACAACTATACCTAGTGTATGACAATAACCACAACTGCTATTACATGAGACTTATAACAAAACAAAACTGTCTTGTATCCCTTTGAGGATGTAAAGGCGTAACCGTATTTTACGTATTTCATGTGTTTACAAACTAATAAAATAGACGATTATTCTATTAAATCTATTGTACTGAAGCAATATTTTTCCTTGTAATATCTATGGATGCTATTAAAATAAATTTATTTTGATTGCAGATTCAAGTATGTGACCGCGCTGGGTGACAAAATAGTTGATGTGTATGCTGGTGGCATGCATACAATAGCTCTTGATAGCAGTGGGAAGGTAAGACAGTTAATTATAAAACACAAGGACTTAAAAAAGGCAGACACAGTCTCTTTAAACAAGAAACACAGACTTTGGTGCCAGGGTACTATAGATTTACACACAGAACATACACACATTGACACAAAGGACATCTGTCATTTTCCCAAGTCGTGGTAACCTATTACAGTCTTCTTCTTCTCTGTCGTGTCGCTATTGGCAGAGCGGTCGTGGTCACGTTGAGGCGGCCGTATTTGTGTTGGTGGCCGAGACAGCTTTCCTCACGAGCTCCCGCCATCTCAGTTTGTGGATTGTCGGCGCAGTCTGACTGGGTTTCCCGTTGCCGATTATCCCTATGACCTATTTACACACGCACACAAATAACCCGCTGACATTTTCGTGCTTCAATCATTTCTAAATCACATTATGTCTGCCTGTTTTTCAATGTCCTTGATAAAACAATGAATAGTTAGTTAAAATAATAAGGAACGACTTTTTTGTTTCAAACCTTCATTCATTAATTTGACCTTTATGTTCTAACATTTTTATTACATACTTTTTTTATCATGTGTCATGTGTGTAATTTGGTAGTTGATTAGTAATTGTATCCAGGATAAAATAACGGTAAAACAATCAAGAATATCACTCATATTATTATAGTACTTGACTACTTGTAAGTGTTTGGGGAAGTTTTAAATTTGTATTGTAACTTTCGTGAGACATACTAAATAAATTGTTATGTTTTCGGCTTAATCACGTAATAATTTGACGAGGAACTCGACTAGTTTCAAGCCATGCTAGAGGCTCATATTCATGAACAGCATTTCGCGACCCGCGAAAGTTCTAAATTTTTTTATTGTCCTGGCCACTGATGTTTTTTCCAATAAACCACTTGGTGTAACTCTTTGTTGGATTAGGCAGGTTACAGACTTGTTATAAGGTTTTTAACAATCTGAATTCTAATAAATGGATCAAATTCCCAACACAACCTTAAATTATAGTTTATCGTGTAGTAAATTGAACATAGACTAACAATGAGTTTCAGATAGGCTATTTGGAAGGTTGTAAATACAAGTTCATAATCAGCAATGTATCCCCCAGGTATGGACGTTCGGCTGTAACGACGAGGGCGCGCTGGGGCGGGCGACGTCGGGAGAGAGCGAGGAGGGCACGCCGGCGGCCGTGCGGCTGCCCGCGCCCGCCGTGGCCGTCGCGGCCGGGGACTCGCACTCCGCCGCGCTGCTCAACACTGGAGATGTTTACGCTTGGGGTGCTTTCCGGGTAAGATCCGTTAAAAGTTTCTGTAGTAAATTAATACTTATTGTTCAGCATACAGATAAATGCTGAATAAATAATGCTAAAAGCCAAGAGCACTTGTGCATAGTTTAGCAAAGATTATTTTACATTTTATGAGAAATTGAATTTTAATCTATATTTTTCAAACAGCTCTATATGAGGAAAAAGGAAATGTACTTCGATAAGGTTATCTCAGAGATTAAAAGAAATTATAATAAAATATTTATAAAATTGGGGATGACGTGTTTTCTGTACTTAAGTCATCCATGACTTAGTTCATGATAAAGTCTAACGTTTTATTCCCTCTCCAGGACTCGCACGGCAGTATGGGCCTAGTAGTCCGCGGCCGTGAAGGCAAGTCGTGTCGCGAGCCCGTGCACGTCGACATCGGGGAGACTGCCGTCGCCATCGCGTCCGGTGGAGACCATCTCGTTATACTCTCGGTAAGACATTTTTATTCATTGAATTACATACTAGAGATGTATCCTGAATATGCATAACTCAACTATGTTCCTACACAACCCCATTTGAGTGTTCATGATAAAGGCCAAAATAAAGTTAAATATAACACCAAAATTTTGTCAATTATACTATAGTTCCCACATTATAGTGCTGAACTTTTTATCACAAATGTAATTACATACGCCCCTTCAGTTCAAAAGACCTTTCTAGAATGTAGAGTAAATTATACAAGTCCCAGTACTAAATCTAAGTTTTATATTGCAGGCTTCAGGAGGTGTGTACACAATGGGTTGCGGGGAGCAAGGACAGCTCGGCAGACTGTCGCAGCGGTCCGCTTCCAGAGACGCTAGGCAGGGATTCAGTAAGTAATCATTTGTGGTGACTTAAACTCAACTCCGCTCTAAGACTGGCTATGATGGTGGTCTCCTTGTTTCTGTGGTCAAAAGTATGTGTAAGCGATAGCACCCAAATTGAATTTTATGACAAACACTGCTATCTTGTCCAAAAATGTTAAAAACCCTCATAAGTTCCAGTAAATACTAAAAAGTTTAGAACCTATTTTTCGAAATCATTAAAAAATTGTTCTTACTAGAACATTATTATTTTACACTTCGATTTTATGGACTTTAACTTTTTGACTGAGATAATCATGAACATGCATTTTCAATCACAGTTAGCCCCAAAACTAGTATTAAACTAATAAAACTCTACCTTTCCAGGTGCCCTACTGGTTCCATCGAAGGTGACGCTGAAGGCCGGCGGCGCCCGTATCTGGGCGGGATACCACGCCACCTTCGTACTCGACAACAATGACAAGATGCTGGCCTGGGGACTCAACAACTATGGACAACTTGGTTAGTCTATATTTTGGTATTTTACTTGATATCTGTTCAGGAGATGTTTTCTTTTCGATATTGTATTAAAAAAGATAAAATGTTAACAAAAACACTTTTGGAAAGACATCTCATATTTTCTGGACAAATACTAGCTGAATAACTACAGTTACTTATTAAATTATACTTAGCACAAAGCAAATACAAGTTCGTCTAGACAAGCCCGTTTCATTATAGTCAGAATTTTAATTAGATTCCAGATTTGACAATAGCTACTGTCATTTTGTGAAATAATGATACCACATATAATAGTGTAGTGATGCACACAAAAATCGATAAACAATCAGTGTGTGTGTTTTATAATAAATGTTACAGAAAGTGACAGGATAGCGATAGCGATGACGGCGACAATTTATAAAATAACTTATTACCATAATACATCTATCTGTTTTTTTTGTCATGTTCCTTCATGATTACATTTTTTTATTTATTTCACACACAATTATAAAAGAAACGTCTCAGATCGTTAATTAATCGTCAAAACTAAATTTCAGTTCAGAAATGTTTAATTTCCTGATATACTTAGTTCACGAGAGTAAAATTATAATTATTATAAACAAGAAGAATCGATCCAGAAATATTGCATTTCCATATCGAATAATTTCGCAACGTCACTATTTAGTACTTGTCATAACGTTGCCACACTGAAATTGTCAAATCTGGAATCGAATTAAAATTCCGAGTATAGTATCTAAAATAGCACTAAGACTTTGAAACACTCATACTAAGTAAAAGTTTTTCATCTAGCAGACATCTCGAGCATTTAACACTGTTTACACAATTTGAAACCCTTGTTCACTGAGGAACCACGGAGGACTTAACGGGTTGCCGGGGTTCTGGTTTGAAGTGCAGGAGTAGGAACAGGGGCGTTTTTAGTCAGTAAGAGTCTGACATTCCCTGTCGCCTCACCCGGGCGGCAGAGAATTCATTGGATTATCATCCCCCCTCAAAAAAAAAAACACAGCACTGTCGGGTAACAATACTTATTGCATACTATATTTTATTCTCCAGGTATAACAGGCGAGAAGCGTAAGACGGCGATATTCTCCCCGACGGAGTGCGACGCGTTCACCGCCCAGCAGTGTAGCTGGCTACGGGTCGCCTGCGGACAACATCACTCGCTCGCGCTCGACGCCGCCGGGCAGGTCTACTCCATCGGACGGTGCGAGTACGGCAGGTAATACAGACTATAGCTACACATACACTAGCTGCGGGGTGTACGGCAGGGGGCAAAACATAAAAATCCTCCAATGACTTCTCTCGCCCGAGTGAAGCGAGAGGTGTAATATTATAGTAGTGACTCCTCGACTCTTATAGGTCGTAGCATGATGTTTATTCATGTCTCTGGGACTTTAGGGTGTCGGTATTTTCATGGTGTGTCTACTGTAGATCCTGGCCAGTGTTACAGTATTAAAAATAACAATATAGCCTAAATTTTTTTAAATTTCAAATATACTGGATTTGAAACCTGTTTAAAACTAGATTTTATAGAGATGTAAACAAATAGTATCGTAATTATAAAATATTTCTGAAACACAAATCCAGGGTTTATTGTCAACATGGATTTGTAAAACTCAATAATATTAAAATGTTGGTTCTGTCCTGTATGTGGTAGTTTAGTACGCATGGATGAAGATCTTCATTAATTTTTTTTATTTTCAGACTTGGTCTCGGTGATCGCGCGGGTGATGCAGAGGTATTGGAGCCAATCCCTGCGCTTCAAAACAAGAAGGTCATCAGCATAGCCGCCGGGACCAGCAACTCATTCGCCGTCACAGACTCCGGTTAGTATAACATTTCAGTCATACGACACACAAAAGTCATCTAGTGTTCAATTAGATAAAATTTTACATATCAAACAGCCATGCTTTCTGTAAGAGACCTGATCATAAACTGGCAATTATTTCTGATATTGCGAGTGTCCTTTAGAAGGGAAAATTGTATACTAACATCTCAAAATAGAACGAACACCAAATTGGTTGAACAAGGCTTGAGATGATGATGCGAGTGTCCATGGCGTAGATTTTTACCATCAAGCAATCCGTCTCCTTGTTTATTTCCTATCAAATAATACATGTTTGTTAAAACATTATCACTAAATACTACTGAACTGATTTACCACTACCATTACCCGAATATTCACCATTTGATTGCCATTTCTTTTGTACTTTATATACTTTATATTTGTACTGCCTCGTTGGCCGAGTGGTCGCAAATGCGACCGCCGGGTAAGGGGTCTCGAGTTCGATTCCCGAGTTGGGCAAAGTATTTCTGGGTTTTAAAAAAAATCTCAGTAGCAACACGGAGTCTGGAATTGTGCCCGGTATATGGCAGCAGGCTCACCCCCTATTACATGGGACTCATAACATAAATACATAGTGAAAAGTGGGTGTTACATAGTACAGTGGCATAATGTGCACGTCTGCCTACCCCTTCAGGGATAAAAGGCGTGATGTTATTATGTATGTTCTTTTGCACTCACATCACCTGTTGTATTCTCCCAGGGAGCGTGGTGTCGTGGGGCATGGGGTCGGAGGGCCAGCTGGGCACGGGCGCGTGTAACGACGCGACGGAGCCGACGGCCGCGGTGACGCCGGCGCTGGCCGAGCGCACGCCGCTACATGTCTCCGCGGGGGGACAACATACCGTGTTGCTTGTTGTAAGTAGCTTGTTATTTCCTGCTCCATATTGGGGCTTGTATTCAAGGACTAAGTCGAGTGAAATAACTGAACTTAGCAACAAAGGTGTTGTTATTATCAACTGGATACGTGCCAACTAGTCAAATTCAATTTACTTTTTTCGAACTCTCAAACGAGAGTCTTCTATGAATTTTGTACGAGATTGTGTATTGTGACGTCACGATTTTTAAGCGACGTCGAGCATATTTATTTCTTAAAAAAATACTGGAAATATATTAAAATTGAGTTGGCCATAAAATCAATTAATGAAAGTGTGATTATTTTTTAATATGTTATTGTATTGAACAGTCGAAATAATTTATTTTTGATTAAGGAACATACCCAGTTGTTATCATCTCACAGGCTGCTATATCCTCCTTTAGAAAGAAAGAAAAATCAATTAATTTGGCATCTTTATATCTACGAGGTGTCTGCAAGATGTCCTATTAGTTTCTGAAAACGATTTACGAGTAATACTGGCACTGTCAATAGACTATTTTTGACTTCCTTAAACAAGAAATTAATGCTTTATTTTAAATGTTCATTCTTAAATTTCGGAAATAAAATCTAACATTATCTAAACTACAATAAACATAAACTTAAGTCTTATTAACCTGTTATTCTGTACAGGAGGACCCAAGCGCCCTAAAGGAAGCGTCCCCTCCCCCAGAAAGTGAAACTTCTGAACAGAAGGGCGACTCACAATCTGCTGAGTCAGAGGAGGAGGAGCCCCGACCTGCCAAGCGGCCGAAGAATGAACAGGAGGGAGAGATCTCTTCCACCTCCAGCGCACAACCCAGCGATGTAGGGGAGGAGGCTAAACCACAGGTAAGATATCTTCTATAAAGATTATGGTTGTTTTTAAAAGGATCTTTTGCTTATTTTTTAAGTGTTTTTGTACATAAAATCATTAAAGTGCTTTAATTTACTATTAGAGAAGGAAAATATCAAGTGTCAGTCAGATATTTGCGAAAGTGGGCTAGTTATCGTAGGAAATAAACACAAAGTATAAATATTAGGGGATTTTCGACAGAAATATCACAACTCAAACAATAAAAATATGGTGGTTTAACATTGATTCTATACAAGTCGTAACCTAGAACCAATTTACCATAGGATCAATAATTCTAGTGTGTGTCAACTTAATGTAAATAGATAAGGAACTGATAAGCCCCCCACTACACTGATTAGAAATGTTAGGGGATTGTGTTGATAGTAGTAAAACTATTTTATGATATCTACTGATAATAACGTTATTACCATATAGGTTTAGTTTTTAACTGTTGACATTATCCGTCTATCTATATACATATAAATGTCTGAACAAAATGAGGCTATAATAATGCAATGTTATGAGTATTTACTTAACAACAGAATTAAAAGAACTCTTTCTTATAAAAAAGTATACATAGGGACATAACTTCTATCATATTTGTTGAGAGCTAGACTGTAGATTATCAAATAAACATGATCACAACTCACACTATCTTAGTAAAATATCATAATTTATAAGGCTCCTACACGTATTTTCAATTGAATTACCATCTACATCAGCTTATGTGTGTGAGTCGCTGACAAAGTACTGCTAAAATCCAGTATTTTAGTATTAAACTGTCAAACACCGCGAGGACACCGGTGACCGCAACCTATTGTTCTTTAATTGTGTCTATAATGACGGTACTCAAAGGGTTAAAGTACTTAATGGTCTATCTACTATAGGATAAAAAGCGTGGCCCCCAGCCAGGGTCGTCTGCCAGCAGCGCCAAGAGTTCCCGGAAAAAGGCACGCCGGAATTAGGTTCTTAATAGTTGTTACAATGTGGCGTTTGTATCATTTTCCGTGTTGCACTTGTAAAAATTGTTCTGATTACACGACCTTGGTTTATTTTGCTGATTATAGAACGAAAATGTGCATCATTTATGCTATGGGGAGCGGATAGCTGAGGCTACACCGTATACTTAGCTGTGGGTGAACCTAGGCTGGAATGAAGTTAATGATGATATATCCATTGCCTCGTTGGCCGAGTAGTCGCAAGTGCGACTGCCGAGCAAGGGGTCTCGGGTTCGATTCCCGGGTCGAGAAAAGTATTACTAGGTTTTATAAAAAAAATCTCAGTAGTAGCACGGAGTCTGGAATCGTGCCCGGTATATGGCAATAGGCTCACCCCATATTACATGGACTAATAACATAAATAGTGAAAAGTGGGTGTTACATTGTACTGTGGCATTAAGTGCCGTATGATGTGCACCTCTGCCTATCCCTTCGGGGATAAAAAGGCGTGATGTTATGATATATCCATGCAAATTTTTGAGTTGTGCAGGAAAGACAGTCGATAGGCTAGCAATTGAATAACACAAACAATCTATTCAACAATCTATTTGAATAGCGGTTTGTTTTATCTCTTTCGAAATTGAAAGTTAATAATTGAAAGCCAGAAAACGGCTAACCATTTCAAATTATTAGTAATAATTATGGGTCAACTTATGTTTTTACAAGTGCAACATAATGAAATGATTAAAGTAGGTTTATAGGTAGGTAAAGGTGATAAATAATAGTGGGTAGATTAGCCGTAATAATACTTATTAGTTTAAAATAGGTGATGGAGCAATATAATTATATTTTTCTGTATTTTTTCAGTTTTGTTTTGTCCATTGTGTTGTCCTATTTATTTTGTATTTTTAGGTAGTTTTTGTTTATTTTTTTACAGTATGTAGTTAAATGTATTTTGTTATTTTTATGTAGTAATTAATTAATTTATAATAAGAGTTGGTAGCCAAGCATGGTGGCGTATACTCTGAATCAGGTAAACATAATTTTGATTATTCAAAATACACAATTTTGAGAGTTGCACGAATGGTATGTCCATGTATGAGTACAATACAAATATGTATGTATGGTATGGTAGTCTTGTCTGTATTACAAGAGTGAAGGCGAAATGTGAATGAATGCAACGTAAATATGACATGACATGACAAATGTAGACATTACAAGAGAAGATGCATGGGGATTAAAACTAAATGTTTTTAAGGGTTTTTAATTATTTTATTGTGACAAGGTGAGAGTTCATTAAAAATCGCGGGTTACTCACGTGAATATACTGAGAATAGCTCTACTAGTTTCGAGTTACAGAGGAGTATGCTCGCTTGCTCATGGCTCATGAGGAAGAGCCCCTCTGTGGCTCGAAACTAGTAGAGCGTTTCTGAGGATATTCACGTGAGTACCCCACAATTTTTAGTTAATTTAGTATGTCTTACGATAGTTATTATAAAAACAATGGGTGATAGTATTTATAACAAGGTATTTTATTTGACAGAAGAAGCATAACATCATATACAAGTCTATTATGTCTGCAAATTATTAGATAAACAGTATAGAGGATTTTATTTTATAATATTGTACTGGAAACTTTCAGAAGGTGAACGGTGATGAGAAGAAAGAAACACCAATGGAAGTTGATGAAACTGGTAAGTTCAACTTGTCAATAATATTTGTAATAGAAACTTTTATTACGTAGCTTTGCGATATAACCTATACTCGAAATAACTGTCTCGACTGTGCAATCGAAATTTGTACCAAAATTCACCTCATCTTTTTTATATTTTATTTTTAAACCTTAAAAACAAGAAACTGATAAAAATAAATCAGTGATTCAACTTTCTTTAGTCGTTTTGAGCAGTTTGTTATTGTGATTGAAGAACAATTATTATTTTAACCTATTCTTTACTTAACATTGCCACTTCAATATTGATAACGTATGCTATTATTATACTGATTACATAAGTATTCCTAGTTAACTTTCCAATTTATATAAACGTTATTGTTTGCTCCCCCAGTCGTATCCCTCTTTGCCGAGGATCACGACGATACCCAGGTGATGTCCGCATGAATTTGCTGCCACCAAATACACATATACTGACTTTTAACTTGATTCAGTAAAGTGATAAAAGAATAATTTTGTGGTTTAACTAATCAATTTAGGAGTAAATCGATTAATAAATTAAATATTATTGTACTTAACTAATTGCGATAAGCATGAAATGATAATTATGGTACACATTTGCTTTAAAAGTATAGTAGTATTTATTTAACAAAATGACTGTAGCTTACATCAGTTTACTGAGTCGAACAAAAGTCGGACCACAACAGACAATATTCCAGTTTACTAACAATATTCCCTTCCACAGACACCCCACAACAAAAAGAGGAAGACGCAGAAACAGAAACAAAGTCAGCAGACGAACAAACAGACACGGAGCAGACCGAACCAGAGAACACACAGACGGAGGACTCCAAACCAGAGACTACCGACACCTCCAGCCAGGAGACCACGGACAGCGATACCAAGTCTCAGGAACCAGACAAAACTGACGTAGAAATGAGCGAAGAACGTACTGAAGTCAACGGCACGCCAGAGGTCGTCGAACCCAAGACTGTCGACGTCATACCTACAGCCAACCCACTTACCACAACGGCGTGATGGTAACTGAGCTAGTATCTGGACAGCACATAGTTGGTTTAAACGTTCGGGTTTTTGTTTGGCAGGCGTTATGTTATACATATCTTACGTAAGGACTGTTCACTCACATAATTTCACAATTGTACACATCACTTTAGCCAAACACAATATTAAATTAGTTTTAAACGTAAATGTTATTCTAAATAAACCGCCTCGTTGACGCATTTTTTTAGTCTAAAACTTTATATTAGATTTGATATTAGCGCCTTCAGGAATCGTTCGTGCCTTTCCTTTATTGAGGACTACACGAATAGGCTAACATTTGACGCTTTTTTTAAAAGAATTTTTAATACTGGAGGAATATGTCTCTGCGGTAGATTGGAATGTCTTCCTGAAGTCAACATTCCATCAGTTGGCTGGACAATATCTTGATAGATAGGTCCAAAAATAAACCAGTCACCGCCGAGACATATATACAGCTTTGATTCATGAACAATCAATCGTAAATCCCTAGTTTTAAAGTATATTTTCATACAATTCAGTCTTTGTCTGTCTAAATGAACCCTGACGTATAAATTGACTAAGTACCATGTGGTACTTTGAGCTATTGGGCGGTACGATGTCTAGTACTGAATGTATTGTTGTACAATACTAATGATTTTTTACAAAATATATATTCGAAGTTGACTTATGTAGGTAAGTATGTTCTTTGTACTGGTTCGCGAATGCTCAATGTGGCGATTGGAATTACATTAATTTGGTAGTATCAATAATATGGTATCACCCTTAGCGGGTTGTGGACGACAGATGGCGGTTGCTCCATGTAAAACGCTGACATTCAGCCTAATCTGGATCAGATTCTATAAAAATTGTAATTTGTAGGTCAAAATCTAGATTCGAGTTATTAATAAACAACAGTGTCGGTTGATTTGATAATGAAACTTCAGAAAATGGAATATCAAATGTTCTTTTCAATACACACAATATAAGCTTTTGCGAATCAGTATCGGACTCTGGTCGCATGTAATGTAATTAACGATAAAATTGACTTGTCTGCCTATCCAAGCTCGATACAAGCGTGAAGGTTGTGTTATTAATAATTTAATATTATGTTTGACCTTGAAATAAAGCTAAAAATTAATTAAAATTAATCTTTTCTTCATTCTCCTATTCTCCTTGTATTTAATACAATTTATGAGTGAATAATTCAATTACATATTACTCTATAATTATTATAATTAATGTAGTTGTACTTTTAGTTGGTATGTTGTCGTTAAATGCATTACATACGTTTCCGCGTTAGTTGTCTATGTGTTAGTTACTCCGTTTGTTGTACAATTAAAATATTTAAGACTGCGCGATTTGAAACGGCGCGGTATAGTTTCAATAGATACATAATTACATAGGGTTACGGTTATGAATGATCAGTGTTCACATTAGATACAAATAAGTATATTGTAGTTACATAGGCCAAGAAATAAAAATAGTCTTTAGCCAATAGGCCCTTATACAAGTTCTCTTTCTACTCCGGTCATGGTCATCTATCGTGGCGTTTCGAATTGTTAGCAAAGGCACACAATATTTATCAACTTCGAATATGAAAAGTCCCGTTCCGAGGCTAACGCGCCGATATTTTGTTATAAAAAATGTTGATACTCAGCCGTTTTGTTCGTAATAATTATATTAGAACGAAGATTTATTAGGTATACAGTGGGGTATGTTTTATTTAGGGTATAGGCGATACCGATATTATTGTATAAGCGAAAATATTCAATTACATTAAAATGTGTTTGTAATGTTGCTCTCGAATCAAGTTCGACAGCAAAATGTGGCAATATGTATTAAAAATGAAGCATAATTTTATTTATTGCTATGGAGTTAGAAATTATAGCTTAATTTAAGTTTAATGTATGTTGCACTAAAGATTATGAAGTACTATGTAGGGTAATATTGCGAACAAATCGGGCGTAGATATCTTCAGAGCGCGTCGAGCCTCGAGCGTGACATGTAAAATAGTATCTTTCAGCGATTCACGTCGCATATAGTGTTGAGGTTGCTAGAAAATAATTGATATAAATAATTAAGCTAAGCTAATTATCAAATGTTGTAACGTGTCCTTGACTGGTACAAAAATAACAATATTTCGGAAAATAGATAAGTATTGTAGTAAAAAATTGAAATCATTAAGTAAACGTTATGTTGAAAAAGTTTTTTTATTATTTTATAGTAACGTTTTTCGTGCATGATTCTAAAAGTACAAATGTACTGGTTCTTTCACACGACGCTATATTTCTTAATTGTTAAAATAAAGATGAACTATAATGTATTGTGTTTTCCTAATAAAATAGTAGTGTAATATTTGTCTTTTATTTTCTCATTATTATTCTATATTATACAAAGTTTTACACTGGCATCAACTACATACAGTTTATTATGGTGTATAGCTAATTAGCTACCAATATAGAAGAAATGATACATTAGAAATATTTTGATATGGTTTTATTTATTCAAGTTTGCATACACTACATATTTGGAATACAAATACTACATGCATTTGAGCGTACATTGCTTGACAGTCCAATAAAATCAACGAATAACAAACGTAACTCGCACGATTGATTCGCTAAAATTGACACAAAACCGCTTCGAAATCGGTCCATCCGTTCGATAGTTGCGAACTTACAAACATACATTTAGTCAAACTAACACCCTTTTAGTGAGAAACTATACAATTCACATGTTATATGGAGAATTCTGTTTATACAGTCTTATTATACAGTAAATTATTTTTATCAACAAAGCAATGAATAGGCGGTTTGGGACAAAAATAAAACTAGTATTACCATTCGAGTTCACTGTTCACTCACCGCAAACTATCAACCACCCCACATTCATATTTTATTACTAAAAAAGAAATACATAGTATAAAATATAATTCTATATTCATAGGAACAGATTATTCATTTCTTTCTCCTTTCTACAAAATCTTATTATATTTTAGCGAAATCAATCGTCATGCGTTCAGAATTAGATGCAACATGCAGTATTTTACATTAAAGGGTCATTGCATAGAACATACATAAACACACATACTTTTAAAAAACATTCATAATATACCTACTAAATTAGTTTAGCCGTGAATAAGCTTTTTATTGCATGTATTTGATAAGTAACCGCCAAAAACGAATATAATCTATTTTATTTATTTTTTTCTTCTTTGGCAACCATGTCTCCAAAACGGTGTTATCGACTATACTGCCAGTGTCGAGTGGTGACGGCAAAATTAATAAACCGTCGAACTTAACTTTGCGGTAGTTTTTAGTTGTTAGTAGCTGAAAATATAATTATACATAAGAATTATGACAATTTGAAGTCATTGAATCCATTGTAGGAAGCACCACTTATATTAAAAAAAGGAATTACAAAAAATAATTTTCGACTACATTATGTATTCGACCGTCGAAAATATAGTTCCTACATTTTAGCAGCTATGTGCAAAAGTTACTGATACAAAAATATATACATAATACATATGATTATATTCTGTTGAATTTATACTAGAAATTACAATTCTGTGCGTTAAATATAAACATAGATATTAATATAGGTAGTTAAGTACATAAGTAGGTATCCACTATACATGAAATCAAGTTAAAATCAAAGTCAGTTATTTGCTGAAGATATTTAAAAAATAAAAGTAATATTTTCTTCACTAAGCTATTCAAGTCTACATTTAAACATTTTTATGATTTTTTTTTTTCATTGGTTAAAGAGCCACCAGACGAGCACAGATGGGGCATAGCTGATGTCTGACCGGGGTCGCGGACAACCTTGCATGTTACTGCGGCTCCGGCTCGAAGCATGAGTAGATTCTTGACACTTTCCCCTCACCCGAGGTGGGAGAAGTCAAGAGATAAGATGTTGGAATCCCTATTTGCGCTGAATTTGTGTTTTGGCGTGGGCGGCGATGCGTTTACGCTCTGGCGATCAAAAGGTTAAAGGGGAAGCTCGCAGACGATTACCTGCAGTGGTATGCATTCAGAACCGCCCATAGACACCCGCAACACCAGAGGAAATTACAAAACTTGTTTGACGTTTTAATTATTGTATTTAAAATACGATTTCAATGTTGAATGTTTGTGATGTTTATACTTATTAATTTTTTAAATCATAGATCGACTTTAACGCACAAAATTGAATTTCTAGTCTACTGTTATCGATATATAATTTTATATAAATGACTTAAAAATCAATAAAATATTTCTTTTTTAGACGCCTCTAAGGCCAAAACAGTGATTTTTCTGTCTATATTCTTGTTTCATTATTTAATATAGCCAATATAAATAGAGTAAGAGTGACAGGAACATTACAAAGGAAGTTTTTATAAGTAAACTTTCTTCTAGACTGCAAAACGACAATATTTGTATGAATTTTTTCGATTATCATAAATCAGCTGGAAAATTACAAATATAGGTAGGTACATAGAATATGAAGAATATCAAAGAATTTTATTGACAATGTGATTATTTTTGAATATTTTTACTATATAGAAAAGTATGTAGAAATAATTTAAGAACACACCCCATTTCGAAGATACTTAATACAATTATGTAACATCGACATTACATAGAAAGATAGGTAATTGAGATTTTAGTTAAACTGGACATAGGTCACAATTAGGCAGAATTATTGCTTGAAATTACTAAAGCTACTTCTTTATTATTTTGCCCGAATTTAATAATTATGCCCCATAACATAAATGTGTTGTAGAACCAACAGAAAATAATCTTTTACTGGTCTAATGCCGGAATACTGAAACGTTACCTAATTTTAAGTCGTGCTTAAATATCGTGCCATCTCTGTCATTTAACAAAGAATTTGTGGAGACAAAACCATATTTACGCGACTTAAAATTGAGTAGCGTTTGAGTATTCCGACATAAGAATGGGTTATTGAGGTTTGATTATTTTTCTGTTATATCTTCACAATTTCTATTTCATATCGAGCTATACTCATAGAAAATAAAGTTTCAAAGAAGCTACTAGCTTCTCGAACTAATATACTGTTAAACAATTCCGTTTCATTTGTTCAAAACTACTAAAAGAAAACATGTTTGTAGGGTCTAATGTCCCTAAATGACTATAATATATTTAATATCGAGGCATACACTTAGAATGAGTGGGCAAACATTCACGACATAAAACAACTAGATCTCATTAAAATTAATATCTAAACACACATACTTTAAAGAATAGACAAAATGTATACTTATATTTATCTGAACATGTCATTTCTAATTATAAAATTGAAATCGCCGACCTGCATTGAGCAAATGTAGTGATTAATGCTCAAACCGTCTCTCGTAGAGGCTTTTGCTCTGCAGTGGGCACTCATTGGCTGTTAATGTATATTCAACATATGAGGTTATCGAGTATTAAAGTATGTGTGTAATAGAATAGATAGAAGAAGCAAGTAATAATAATTAACAAATATGTTTAGCTGATCACTCCGCAATATCCGCGTCCTCTGCTTCATCTGAAATATTATGGATTATGTTACTTCTAGTGTATTTGTGGCGATGGCAAATTTTTGCAATTTAAGGTATATTTATACGGGCGCATCGGACTTAAAATCGATTTAAATCTCGCTTATATTATAGAAGACGGACGAATGCGCGCGAACGCAGCGTACAACACCATACGCTGCGTTCGCGCGCATTCGTCAGTCTTCTTCGAAATCGCTTACCACCAAGTGAGATGGCCAAACATCATCCTATCAAGTGTAAAAAAATCTCCGAATATAGTCTATTGTGTGCATTACGCTGTGGAGATAAGGTTGAGTTTGTTAAGGCTTTGACTGCCATTAAAAAACTGTTGAAGGTAAATCCTCCATTAACGTTGGTCACCGGTGACCCCCATGGCGTTAAATGTTAATTAATTGGAATTTTGCTTCGTATGCGTTTTTATATAGAGACCCTTATATAATACTAACTTTTACCCGCGGCTTCGCTCGCGTCACAAAAGGATCAAAGTAGCATATACCAATACACACAGTGCCATCTATACCAATTCTTTTGTTTTCCCTCGGGAATACCAAAATTTTCCGGGATAAAAGTACCCTATTATTTAATCCGGAGTTCTAATTTTACGTCTGCAAAAATTCAAAGCAATCGGTTTAGAAGTTACGGCGTGTAAGCGGAACAAACAAACAAACTCACTTTCCCATTTATAATAGTAAGGATTATTCTTTAAATTGAGAGCGATGGTAGTAAAGGAGGGGTTTTATACAGCTGTAGACATCTTTTGGGTCATAATGTTGCAAATCTTACTCACTGTTTACTTGTTCATGTGTACCATTGACGTTCTCCAGCCTCATCTGCCGGAGCCTCGCGGCCGCGTCCTCGGCGGACATATTGCTTTCTTCTGCGTCTTCAAACTCATCTTCTCCTAGGAAAGAACCAGAGAACATTAAGTAGGTATACCAACATATTGTACAGGGACTCTTGTTTTTTGTGTGGGGTAAATCATCCAATTAATTCTCCCGCAAGACCCCATGCCCGACAGTTGCACTTGCGACCACTCGGCCAACGAGGCAGTCGCATAACATTCACATTTTCAATAACTTGTAGCCGAGTCCACATAATCCTCAAATCACGGTGTGCCTAAAGAACATGAAGACTCATATCACAGAATAAATGATACTGAAGCAAATACCTTCATCAAATTCCTCTCCATCCATGTAAGGGTCTTCGTCTTCATCGATCTCGTCTGCAGGGTCTGGGTGCAAGGACTGGCCCTGGTTCATTGCCATAAACATTGCTTCTAAGTCATTGTCGTTTTGTGGAACGAATCTAAAATCAGTAATAGACACAATGTCACGCCTTTTAATTCCCGAACTGGTAGGCAGAAATGTTACATTAGTTTGAATGACTCCGTCTTTTTTATGGGATAAGCCGATGAACGAGAAGACGGATCACCTGATGGTAAATCGGCGCCGCCCATGGACACCTGAAACACCAGAGGCGTTACAAGTGCGTTACCGGCCTGGGCCTCCGATAACCTCACTCACACGACGAAACACAACGCAAGCGTTGCTTCACGTCGGTTTTCTGTGAGGCCGTGGTGGTATCACTGCGGTCGAGCCGGCCCATTCGTGCCGAAGCATGGCTCTCCCACACTTAAAATAGTTTCTGATTGGTTCTTACTATTGTTCATATAAAATGAGAATGACATTGTTTTATACCTTAGTTTGGTCATGGGCTCCTCATCAGCATCGTATTCATCGTCATCATCTACCGGCGCGTCGCCAGCGCCCTGCTGCGTCATTTCTGGTAAACTGTGCAGTAAATAAAATAATAATTTTAACTGCCTCTCTGCTGCCGGTGTGAATTTGGAGGTCACAGAATGGAAACTTTCTTACCTAAGTTCATGGTTGATGACCAGAATGAGTCCCGGTCCAGGGTCTCTCTGTATGGCGTGTAGGGAGATGTTTGGGTACATGAGGGTCACTGTAGGGGACGGACCTCCTTGTCTGCCCACTCCTCCGCCCCACACCACATTGCTGAAGAGGAAATATAGAGTTGGAATTATTTATGTCAATTTTAAAAGCTTTTCTATACACATGATGAAAGTAAGAGATTGTCATGAATATGAGCCTCCACCACGGCTTGAAACTAGTCAAGTTCTTCATCAAACAGTTACGTAAGTGAGCCGAAAACATATTAACTAATCTACTATATAAAAATAAGTCGGGTTTTTCTTCCTGACGATATAACTCCAGAACGTACAAACCGTTTCCTACGGTTTTGCATTCGATGGAAAGGTCTCAGGCTCCGTGAAGTTTATAGCAAAGAAAATTCACTTTTAATCACCAAACGAAATGTTACATAAAACGAAGTCATCTGGTGGCGAAACGGAGTTCGCAGAGTTTGCTAGTTAAAGTATAAAAATGTATTAAATGTATTATCTAACAATATCTTCAATTTTGGCACTGTAATATGATTGCCAATTTACAAAAATATGAGGTAACTATCAACGCTTAATGGATGTTAGTTTCTAGTTTTTTTGAAAGCTTGTTATTACCTATCTACTATCCAGATGAAACAACCAAAGTTGAGATTTTGTTGTTTATGTCAAACGAGTTTTATGCTTATTAGACTCTAATAATAATTTTTTTATTACCGCAATGTGGAGAATCCAGTATCAATCAAGAATGTTATTGGTACGTTAAAGAGTTTCTATGATTAAAAAAGTAACGATGCAGTTTCTTGCTCATTCTTCTCCATTAAAACTACACCTTGGAATGAGCACCTAGCTTCACTTACCATTCAATTTGATGTTATAAAAGTTTAGAATTTCTAATTAACCTATTTATCCCCAGATCACCGGGGATCTCCACTAACTACTTTCCCATGTTTACGGACTACTTTCGTATGAACAAACTTAGGGTATGATATTTCAACAGGTTAAAGTTAAACAACCAATAAAATCTATATAATAAGATGCAATGGCTGTCAGACATTAGTACAGATAGTTTGAAGCTAATTAAACTCAATTTTAACTGTCTAATTTTTGTTCAGTTAAATGGGACAGATGACCCTACTTGACCTTTTTACAGGTTCCACTCACTCTCATTAATTGTCATTCATGAAAGGTCAACAGTTTAATAACTACGTAGTGTTTACACATTTCAGCTGATCACACAATTTTACGTAAACAATATTGTTTTATAAATGTGTTTATTGTTTTATAAACTTTTATCCGTTTAATAAATAATATTTTACATATTTATAACAGAGTAAAATAATTAAAAAAATCACTTTTTCTATTGTTCCCTTTGTTAATTTATAAAGAAAACGTGTCCGTGACCGATCCAAGGAAACGTGGGAAATTCAAGGAAAACTGCGACTTATCATGCCTGAAATCAAATAATTCATTCATAAACTTACTGTTCGGTTATGTACAGCGTTGCCGTACCCAAATCCACATCGTTATTTACTATTAAATTAACCGAAGGCAATTGCATCAAAATACCTTCGGCCGGTACAGAAAACGATGGAGATACAACAACCATGTTGTCTAATTTATAAACTAAAACACTTAGATTACACAATAAACTACGCTTTTAGTTAATTGAATGCGTTTTAAAAGTATTTTAGCACAAGAGTAGCGGCAATTAATTCTAATAGCAAAATAAATTCGCATGAAACACGCTTCGGTAGAGAATTCTTGATAATAAATGCGTTTTGTTCTTAGTCAGTTTTGACAATTGCATAATTTTTTTCTAACGCCTTTGTAGTAGAATAATCCGTGTGTATTTTTCCATTGCTGTAGATAGATTACTTATTTCATAATATATATTAATGGTACATAAATATTAAACACCTAAATATTATTAGAAAAGAAAGTAAAATTTAGCAGCTTCTGGTGAAATTAAACGTAAATCTTACAAGCACATTGTCTAATCAAAAAATATTTATTATTTAGAAGTAATTAGTAGTAAACACTTCTGATAACATATCAAAGTTAACATTTTTAATTCAACGCTTTCTGTTGTTATATATACAGGAATTTTACAAAATACCTATCTTAAATTTTATCAACCTTATCTATGTTTTCTAACTTTAATGGATATCAAATTATTAGGTAATTTATTTAATAGAAAAGTGGTAATATATGCACTTAATGTCAAAATGCTACCAATGCTACCATGTCAATAAAATCCTTTCAAAAACTGTCAATAAATTCTAAAAGAGTGGAGTGATCGATCGCAAAGTCAGCAAAAGCTCTTGATTTTATATCCTTCGTCATATTCTTGACAAAGAAAACACTTGAAATGGAATGTGAAGATAACAATTTTATTAATGTATCATACATTAAAAGCGATGAACACAGTCAAAGTGTAAATATCAACTCTGAAACAGACGATGTAAGTTGCACAAATCTTTTCACATTACCCTTCTTTAAAGTTATTATTTTTTAATTATATGTATGGTCTACCTCCTTCGAAATTAAGAAAAATAATTAAGTTATAAGTGTCGACTTATGACACTGTTGTTTTTATCGCCTACCATAGTGTTTTATTACATTTTGAATCGACTACAAATATTCATTGTTTTAGCCCTTAAAAGAACTTGGTCTACAACCAAATCCACCGAGTTACTACAAATTAGACAGTATAGTGTTTGCCGAGCCATTGAAAAGCATTTCAAACAACGAAAATGCATTGAAAGGTAAATCATGCATTTAGAAAATGTCAATATTTTATTTTTACCTGTTGAAATCATATATAAATTTGTTCATATGTCTTTAAACTTTGGAAATAAGGTCTATAATGTAGCTAGTGAAGAACGGTTATCGGTGATCGCTTGGGGATATATGGGTTAAAGTTGTGATGTATGAAAATAGAAGGAAATTATCATATTAGTCCCTAAGAACAGTAGTAACTATAACATAAATTCCGAATTTGTCAAATACATAGTTGTATAAATCCAATTTATTTTTTATCAATAAAAAGTAACTACGGATAAATAGCATATGGTTTAAAAAATAAACCACTTACTGTTTTATTTCCTTTAAGTAAAATAAATAACCCAATAAAGCAAGCAAGCATAATCAAGATTATATTTGTTTTTAGACATAGAAGAACACACTGAATTCATTGTTATGGATAATGTGCTAATAAAAAAGGAGGCCGGAAAGCAATACAAGAAGTATCTTATGGACTTAAATGAATCACAGTTACAATGTCCACAGGTAATAAAATTATTTATTTTACACAGTAGCTATACTTATAGGGGTGAATATAACAGTTTATAATCACCAACAAACTGCGACAATCAATACTTATTTTAATTTTTTATGGGATAAGCCAGTAAACGAGCTTACGGATCACCTGATAGTAAGCAATCGGCGCTGCCCATGGACACCTGGGACACCAGAGGCGTTACAAGTTCATTATGGGCCTTGTGAGGATTAGGAATTTGAGAATTGTTGGGGATTCAGGGATTGGTGAGATTGGGTAATTGGGCCTCCTGTAACTTCACTCACATGACAAAACTCATTGCAAGTGTAGTTTCACGTCGGTATTCTCCTCGGCCGTGGTATCACTCCTGTTGAGCTGGCTCATTTGTGAATGGCTCTCCCACACTTAAGATTTTTGTTTCTTACATAACTCTTTTACTACCTCAACCATCACTGCACTTTTGGACGACAGATCTCCTCTACATACGAGAGTTTTCCATAACTACAACTGGAAATCGCAGTTAAAGAGGCTTAGGTTATAAAATAAAGTGCAATCTCTATTAAATACTTGTCAATTTATTTTATTTAGCTCTTATTGACAAATATTTTCTACTCTGCCATTACTACATAATTCAATTTGAAACCTTATATGGAATTTAACCTCCCACTTAAAACGATAGGACTTAATCTATATAAATAAAAATGAATTTTCGTTCGTTAGTCTCGCTAAAACAAATGAAATGTTCGTGGAAGTCCAGGGAAGGCTTAAAAGGTGTGAAAAAAAAATTTTAGGACGAAGTTTGCGGAATCAGTTAGTTAACAATAAATAAATTTCTTCTTTAAATAGGTTTCTTCGGTCTTATTACTTTTTTTTATTAATTGATTTTTATCTTGTTTGTGTAACACACTATGTGTCTCTGTATTGTTATTTCTTTTCCTGCCACAGGCCCACAGGAAGAAATTCCAGTTGGAATATGTGGGGCCTATGTACTCTGTTTTTTATTATGTATTGTCCTCTGTGTTGAATGTGTGTACATAAATTAATAAATAAATAAATAAATAACATTTAATTTTGTTACAGCCGAACTGCACTTGCTCATTCACAACCACAAAACTCCTAAAAGCCCACATACGTAAGGTACACTGCGCAGACAAACAGAAGTACATATGTGAGCAGTGCGGGCGCGGGTTCTCAGCGCAGTACTTGTTGCAGCGACATGTGTTAGTGCACACTGGGGTGTTGGTCGAGTGTACTGTGTGTGGCGTCAAACTGAGGGGGAGGACTGGGTATGTTGTACCTTTTTTGAAACCGCGAAATTGAATAATTCTTTGCTTAATCTGGGTTTTGAACACAATCGAAGCCTGTTAAGCCATTAATTTTTTATTAAAAATGTATTTAGAATTATGGGTAATACCATTACTATAACATGTGGTATTTACTTAGGTACATTGCGAGCTCAACCATATTTTACGAGGAGGCATGTATATATGAATTATTTTTTTGGTATTAATTTTATTACTTAATTATCTGGAAATGTGCCCGGGCAATAGGCTCACCCCCTATTACATGGGACTCATTACATAAATAGTGCAAAGTGGGTGTTACCTCTGTGTGCACCTCTGCCTACCCCTTCAGGGATAAAAGGTGTGATGTTATGTTATGTTAATTAATTAACTTACTTCTTACAACAGTTGTACTTGTGTTTCTTTATTAAAAAGTAGCCTAGTGCTATTCCAATCAGATGACTTGGTCGCTCATTTGCCGGTCTATTCCTTAAAAAAATTGTGGAAGAGCAAACTCCAACTCAAAAGACATTAACAAATATAAAAAAATAATAGTCTGTCAGTCTGTCCGTCAGTGAAGGCAGGTACTCGTTCCAAACAGTAGATTCGAGTGGAGAAGAACGAGCAAGAAACTCCATATGTTACTCTTTTTTAAATAAGTTTGTTTTTCAATGCTCTGATACATATTCCAATATTGAACATATATGTATGTGAGATCAATGCAAAGACAAGCTTAACGCATAATACAAATTACAGAACATACTAAAATAAAAAACAAAATAACGAGAAAAGAAATAGCATATAGTCTAACATGGTGCTCACATATGCATACTGACAATCCATATAATATGTATAGTGCTTCAATACAAGAAAAAAATAAACTTGTTTTAATAACACACAACATACATACATCCATGCGTCCTAACAAAATTCACAATATATGATATTAAACTGTCAAACACCGAGCGGTGACCGGTGACCGCAACCTATTGTTCTTTAATTGTGTCTATAATGACGGTACTCAACGAGTTAATATATTTGTCCTCAGTTTAACGAACCATCTCCGTTCTCACCTGAACATTCGTGCTCACGAGTGTGGATTCTGCAAGAAGAAGTTCACGAGAGCATCCACCTGTGCAACTCATATCAAGTTTGTGCATAAGCAAGGAATGTTGGGATGTGACCAGTGTGAGCAACAGTAAGTAATTTTAACTTAATAGCTATTGAAATAAAGTCGTAAATCGTAAGTTCATGAGAACCTCGACTTGTGCAACTCATATCAAGTTTGTGCTCAATCAAGGAAAGCTAGGGTGTAACCAATGTGAGCAACTGTAAGTAATTTTAACTTTAATCCTATTGAAATAAGGTCGAAATTCTTTAGAAGCAATTTATGCAAGTCATGTCAAGTTTATGCATAAGTAAGGAAAGTTGGCATGTGACCATCACCAGGGTGGACAATGATAAGGAGTTTGATCTTTATAGGTATTGTAATAACGTTAAAAGTTTGTTAAAACGACTTGTGCAACTTATATAAAGTTTTTGCACAAGTAAGGAATGTTAGTATGTAACCAGTTTTAACTTTTATATATATATTGTAATAAGGTCGTAAATCCTGTTCAAACGACCATTTCAAAGTTATTTCATGTAACAATGACTACAATAATGACTTTATTGTCATTGCAATACAGTTAAATTTCTGATGTACTTTACCAAAGCTTCGACCTGTGCAACTCATGTTGAATGTGTGCACAACTAGTAAGCAAAAAATGTATATTTATGATCAGTTGGAGCAACGATAAGGACATTGAAATTCATGGCTACGGTACCGTGATAAAGTTGAAAATCCCTTAAAGATGCTCTTCTGAGTCTCTATTAAGTAAGAGCAATAGTAAGGACGGTTAAGGTCCAACTTTATGGTATTGCAATAAGGTCGTGAATCTGTTGAACTTTATCAAAGCATTTCGAGCAACGGCTAATGACATGGCCATACACCAGGCCAGGCACAATTCCAGACTACCTATGTGCTATATGTAGAGTTATAATTTTGAAACTCTACACCTACTGCCATGTCGCAGAGAACCTAACGGGTTACCGGGGCTCCGGCTCGAAGTGCAGGAGAAGGAACGGGGTGGTTTTTAGTCAGTAAGAGTCTGACACTCCCTCCCGCCTCACCTAAGCGGGAGCAGTCATTCGATGATTTTCTCCCCTTAAAAAAACACGTACTGCCATGACTGTATGATGATATTGTATTCCGTTTCTCCTAGATTTGCATCTCGTAATCAATGGAGTTTGCACATGAAGACCCATCGGGAGGAACACCCTGGTTGACTCGCCAGACGGTAGAGGCACCGAAGGTAAGTCCGTATTAACTTAAACGAGTATTTTTTTGGCAGAATGGCAGACGAGCAAACGGATCACCTGATGGTAAGCAATTTATGCCGCCCATGGACAACCACAGCATCTCATCTATTACCAGGTTCTCTCAAGAACCGTGCGAAGATAGACAGCTGTTATAAGTCATGCTGTCTAGTGCTGAGATGTGGGTTCGAGTTTTTATGCGTGGGTCACGGCATTAAGCTAAGCGCTGGCCATTTTGCGCTGTAACGACGCTAATCCTATTATTTCACTAAGTGACTGCGTCGGTGGCCGAGTGGTGGCAAGTGCGACTGCCGGGCAAGGGGTCTCGGGTTCGATTCCTGGGCCAGGCAAGGTATTGCTGGGGTTTTAAAATTCTTAGTAGTAGCATGGAGTCTGGGATTGTGCCCGGTATATTGCAATAGGCTCATCATCTATTACATGGGCCTCATAACATAAATAAGTAAAAAGTGGGTATTACATTGTAAAGTGGCATTAAGTGCCGTAATGTGCACCTCTGCCTACCCCTTCCGGAGTAAAAGGCGTGATGTTATGTTTATCATCATCATTATCATCAACAGCCTATAAATACCCATTGCTGAGCAAAGCCTCTTCTCACACGGAGAAGGTTTAAGTATTAATCACCACGTTTGCTCAATGCGGGTTGGAGATTACAGACTTATAATTAGAAATTATAGGCCCAGGTTTCCTCACGCTGTTTTCCTTCACCGTTTATCAGTGATGTCTAGATAATCTTAGAAAGTACCTACATACAACTCGGAAAAAATCATATTGGTACTTGCCGTTGGTAAGTTTCGAACCCGCACCCTCATGCCATGAGAAGCAGGCGTCCCGTCAAGCGTCCGCGTTCCTTACGATCCAACGGGTGCACACGTGACATTTGGAGCATTTTTTCTTATGATCCACCGGGTGCTCATAAGGACGCTCGGGGGTTAAACCTTCGAGCCACCACGACATGATGTTTTGTTATCTGGTGTTATTATTTTATTTTTCACGGCGTAAATAAATTGCAGTTTTCTTTCTGTCTAGTTACAATTTTCGCATATAATTAATATCTGTTGTAGTTGTAAAAATAAATGTTTATGGAGGACCTTCCATACAGCAACCGTGATATATTTTCATAGATACAGAACCGTTCGTGCGTGCGTCTATCTAGCACTTACCGGTTTTCTTATAATTACTTTTTATCAAACGCGATTGTAATTTTGATTTTGTTGACATTATCGCGTGATAAAATATTTAATCTACTGTTCTTTACGCGTTAATTGAACTTTAGCAGTGTGCCGTGTGAATGACGGTTGAGTAAAATATATTCGCCACCTCACTTCCTCTACTGCGGGCGTCGTAACAGCCGGCTAAGGGAAAGAAAGAAAGAAAGAAAGAAAAATAATTTATTCGCCACCAGACATGGACCACCGAATAACACACAAAATAATAACAAAATAACATTAAAAACAAAATAAAAAACAATAAGACCATGACATAACATAAAAAACAGCATTAAAAAATAAAACAACAATGAAGGCAAAAAAAAATAAAAACATAAAAAAGCAAAATAAAAAAAACCGACTTCAAAAAACCAAAAACTAATAACAAACAAAAAGTTAAAATTAAAACGCAAAAAATAACTATTATTAGTACTGATAGGTTACCCACCCACTGATAGGTAAGAAGTCGGTCACAAATGACGGTGTAGGTACTGCGCGAAAAAACAAAAAAAAAAACAATCAGCCGAACATAGTACCTCCTCCTTTTTTTGAAGTCGGTAAAAACAGGGACTTCGCGTTTGACAAACACTGGACTGCAGCTATGGCATTTTATACAAGTACCTATAGGATCGGCTAGATCATGATGAGGGACTGTGTAATGTACATGCTAAATGTATGTACCTGTGGAATTTCAACTAGTTTTATTAGGATAGTTTTTTTAATAAACTTTGCTCCACACTAGGATTTTTTCCTATGTCGTGGGTGCGTTTACAAACATACAAGTTCACATACACAATGGCACCCAGACCCGGAACAACAATCTGTGGATCACACAAATAGTTGTTCTGTGCGGGAATCGAACCCGCGACACGTTGCGCGGCAGCCCAGCCCGCACCAACCGTGAAGACAATTTTTATAAACCTCAACCATTATAATTTTTTTTTTATTTATTGGTACCAAATTATGGTTTAATTGAAATACATGCTTTGACTTTTGACAAATCCTTCCTTCCTTACTTATATTATAAATCGGAAAGTGAGTTTGTTTGTTCCACTTTAACGCCGTAATTACTAAACCGATTGCTTTGAAATTTTGCAGACGTAAAGTTACAAGTCCGGATTAAATAATAGGGTACATTTTATCCCTGAAAATTTAGATATTCCCGAGGGAAAACAAAAGTATTGGTATAGATGGCGCTGTGTATATTGGTATAAGTCACATTGGCTTTTTATCCTTTTGTGACGCGAGCGAAGGTAAAAGCTAGTACAAAATAAATAATAGTCTGTCAGTCAGTCCGTCGTCAGTGAAGCTTGGTGAAGCTCGTACCAAAATATAGAAGATGAATAGATTCCGAATAGAGAAGAACAAGCAAGAACCTCCATTCGTTAATCTTTTAAAAAACATATGTTTTACAATCTCTCTGATACATTACATCACGTCCCTGCCGTGTTTACATTCCCTGGGGAATGTCTGAGAAACCCCCCCCCCCCCGGGTTTCTCATACCCCGAACCGAACCTTTGGAGAAAAACTAGTGTCAGGTTATAGTGATTTTCATCATAATATTGTACATCTGAATAATCAAAGTCATAGTTTTTTTTTACTTTAACAATATGCTTAACGCCCCTTTTGAATGAAAGATCAGTTGATAAGCGTTTATGAGCCGAAGTGCAGTAATTTACTTGTTTGGTTTATGGATCATAAATATCGAAATGAAGACATTAGACTGAATAAAAAAACTTGCATTTGATAAGCGCGATAAAATTATCGAGTAAAGTATTATTGGGTTATTTAATTCTGATTGTTTGGGTTTGGGGGGTAACGTGTGCAGTAGTCCTATTTACAAATATACTATAAATATTAAACTCTACAATTGAACATGGCCGGGTGCTCCTTGGGGATTCAGTCATGAATACAGTTTATGAGGCAGTTACAAATTGATGTCACGCGTCGCTTTACAGATCTCGTTCTACATATATTAATTAAACAATACTGTGGAAAAGAAGTATGATAGTAAAGTCCCAGGTCTCTATCTTTTAAACCACTGTTATTATTTGATCGAAATTCGGTACAATAATGGTTTCCGACCCAGGAAACCTCACGGAACGGGCACTGTACTGATACAGCCAGCATCCTTTCACAATAAACATAACTTAGGTACTGAAATGTGCCCGGTATATGGCAATAGACTCACCCCCTATTATATGGGACTCATAACATAAATAGTGAAAAGTGGGTGTTACATTGTACAGTGGCATTGTGCACCTCTACCTACCCCTTAGGGGATAAAAAGGCGTGATGTTATGTTATATTAGGTATTGAATCAGCATAAGATATGACTTGGAAAAGACTAATTCATAAACCCAAATTCTACATGATTCATGTTATTGATCTACGCGGACGAAGTCGCGGGTAGTATAGCTAGTCATCTATAAAATGAGAATGCATGTGGTTGGTGAATGACACCGCATCGTCATACTGCGCAGTGACATAGGTACTGCGGGTAATTTTTAATAATTTTGGTTTTTAACATTTTTACATTGGTTGACTCGACTGCCTCGTTGGCAGAGTGGTCAGAAGTGCGACTGACGGGCAAAGGGGTCTCAGGTTCGATTCCCGGGTCGGACAAAGTATCACTAAATTTTTTTTTCAAATATGACCCAGTAGTAACACGGAGTCTGGAATTGTGGTATATGGCAATAGGCTCAACCTCTATTACATACATGGGACTCATAACATAAATAGTGAAAAGTGGGTGTTACATTGTATAGTGGCATTAAGTGTCGTAATGTGCACCTCTGCCCACCCCTTCGGGGACAAAAGGCGTGATGTTCATCCAAAACCTATGAGTTGATTGACTCTTTGACAGAAATTCAATAGTACTGTGAGTACTACTGTCGAAATTCGATGTCAATACGATGTCAATACGAGACAACTAGTTAAATTCAAAACTCTTCTATGAATTTTGTACGAAATACCATCTTATGACGTAATCATATTTTCACGCCAATTAGCACACTTATATCTAAAGACAATGCTAGAATAAATCGAAAATTAAGTATATCGCAAATCAATGAATGAAAGTGTAACTATTTTTCAATATTGAATTGGACTGAAAAATCAAAATAATTTATTGTTGACCCAGGAACCTACCCAATTCAAAGTCTGTAATGTTTTTAGTAATACCCACTTAATTGGTTATATATTTTAGTAGAAAAATAATTTAAATGTACCGCCCGCATGTTCATACCATACTCTGTACTTTAATTTTAAGTTAGGTATCATGTTTGATGAATGAATTGTATTCTTTTTTTGAGAAATAAAATTTTTAAATCAGAAATGATTAGTTGAAAGCTTGGAATAATAATATTCTTGTCAGGTTTTTCCAAAAGGCATCAAAGGCCAAAATTAAGGTGTTTGTAGATATTTCACTCCTTAAACTGTCAAACACCAAGCGGTCACCGGTGACCGCGACCTATTGTTCTTTAATTGTATCTATAAAACCGGTACTCGACGAGTTAACCCGTCGAGCGTCCGCTTTCCTTATGCATTTCCTTATGCATGCAAGAAAATGCATTTATTTGGCCATTGGCACACGAAAACAAGGATCATTACAATAGAAATAAAACAAATACAGTCAAAATAAAAACAAAACATTAATAATAGATTTTATAAAAAAGAAAGCAGCATGGAGCATTTTTTCTTATGATCCACCGGGTGCTCATAAGGACGCTCGAGGGGTTAAC